TTACAATACTTACCTGCACTGGAAAAGACAAAGCAAATTGAAAAAAAAACTGCCTTAAAATTGCCAGATATTTAAAACCCTTATTCAAACATGAAACAAGTAAAATATTCATTTAAAACCTATCTTTGTTTATCAAGCTCAATGAAAACTAAAGCAATCTTGCTAATCAAATAGGAGCACTATGAAAAAAATTCACAGAAAAAAATTATTCCAGATTAAGCAAATTTGTAGAGAACAGCTAAAGACTTATACAGAAGATGAACATTTGTAAACGTGCTTAAAATGGAAACCAAAGTCATATGTCAAAGGGACTTGACATATATTCAAGTCAATAATCTTTGCTGAAACTAAGTAAACAATCATCAAATATCTTTATTAGCATGAAAAACATCCAGGAATCATTAATCACTTCCAAAAATATGCTTGATTAATAGCACAGAGCCTGCATCAACAGAATACACCAAGCAAGTAGGGAAAAAAAATAATCTTTTGTATGTTTTCCAATCTGAAAAGCAAAGTAGTACCAAATGATATAACAACTAGAAAATCTGGGGCTACAACATAGTCCCACAATAATGAAGCAGAAATTCTATTAACAATGGCAATTTCTTTAAGCAATCTCCTCATCAAATTTTGCTTCTATGAAAAAAATTAGCCCCACTGAGACAGAAATTATGAGAAAAACTATGCAGTATTAGTCGACCTAACTAAGCATTTTTCAACTATAAATATATACATATATATATTTATGTATATGTATATATATATATACATATGTGTGGCAGCAGAGGATATACATATAAAAAGCCCCAATTTTAAGCAAAGTTGGGATTTTAAAAAATGTGGATTTAGGAAAAATTCTGACAATCTAGTTTTTTTCCTTTAAAAGTTTAGTTTTAAATATTTTCCACACCTTGTAAAAAAATACAAATAAAGAATATTCTGAAAATAATTCTTTTGGAGGGGAATGGATTCTTTGGTGATAGTTTAACATGCAACCTCTAAAGAAAAGCCTGATTTAATAATCCTCAACACCATCACTACTGAACTTAAATACACTACTATGTTATGACTGAGGCTAATCCACAGTGCAGGTATTAAAATAAACAACATTAAATATCCTTTTAATGAAAGAATAACATAACAGATAATTGAAAGGCAACATTAACATAATGGCACGTTCAAATAAATGACTTTAAATTACGTGTATAATTTAAATAATCTGACAAATGGATATCATTTTCCCTTTCAAAAAGTATATAAAGTCTAAGTTATAAAATCTGAAGTAAGTTCTGCTATACAAAATTCAAAATATAGTTAGTCTATTTATATTTTTTCTACAAAGCTGAAACAAGTATAATAAAAGTTAAACTGTTGCTCAACCTGTAATTTTTATCATTGTTTACTAAATGGAATTAAATAGATATTATTTTACAAGTTAGACAATTCTATCTCACAATAGCATACATTTACTTTCAAATACAAGTGATACTACATAATAGCATGCTAAAATAACAAACTTATTTATTCACACCTACTAAAATATTCAGGACATGACTAAGTTCTTTAAATTACCTCAAAACCTACTGTAACTTTAAAACGAAAAAGATAAATTAAATGAAATCTGTATGTTATATATAAGAACATATGTTTTAAGAATGATGAAGTATTCACTTCCGCAATTTCAGAAATATCAAAACTTTGTTGACTATGAAGTAGCTTGCATATCTTGGTTCTAACAAATTCTTTCAACTCTAATGAAAAGAGGGATTATAATTAAAATTAAATGCTTGAACAAGAAAAAAGTTTTACAGATATTTATTGCATCCAAATAATTAACCATTTTGCATTAATACACTATTTACCTGTCCATAAATATCAACAGTGAAAATGTGTTACAATATAGCTAAAAAGGCAAAGCATATGAAATTTATACACAATTGTGTTCAAATTTATACATCATTACAATATGCTGTCTACTAAAATACATCCTACTCAAAAATGTAAAAGGTAAAAAATAACTCCGAGACTTTATCGATCTGAAAACAAAGTTTTAAAAGTTGCTTAGTGCATATTTAAATATGCTCAAGTACATTGTCTATACTAAAATAATTCAAAAAGGTATTGTATCCCCATCATTAGATAACCCATGGGTATTGCATACCTCTTTGGTATACTGGATATGAAACAAGCTAATAATGGCATATTTTATAAAAGCACATTAAACTGGATATAAAGAAAAATATGCTCAAAATAAAATTTTTCTGAAAAGTACTCAACATGGTTGCACTTTTTTAAACACAAATAAAAGATGGAATTAAAGATGTCTTTCAATAAATACCTGCCAGTTAGAGAGAGATATGATCAAGTAACTTAAAAGATAAAATTATATTTTGACAAACTCTACAACAAAAATTTATTGCATCTTAATGACACTTATTTGATGGTTAAATATGAAATTAAGGTTCATAAACCATAAGTAAATTAGGATATAGAATGTTTTAAACATTATTAGCCTTTCAATAACATTTGAGACCATATAATTTACAAGAAAACAAATAAATAAATGAAGAGGAATTAAAGCATGTTAAAAGAAAAAAAATTAAATACCTGTAACATAAAATTTAATGAAATTTGAAAAAAAAACTGGATATATATGCTTAATCAAAAGATAAGTAGGTAATAGCACCTGAGTTTATCTGTGACTAAGCTCCATTAGAACAAAGCTAATGGACGTGATGGAATTCCAGTTGAGCTATTTCAAATCCTGAAAGATGATGCTGTGAAAGTGCTGCACTCAATATGCCAGCAAATTTGGAAAACTCAGCAGTGGCCACAGGACTGGAAAAGGTCAATTTTCATTCCAATCCCAAAGAAAGGCAATCCCAAAGAATGGCAATCCCAAAGAATGCTCAAACTACCGCACAATTGCACTTATCTCACACACTAGCAAAGTAATGCTCAAAATTCTCCAAGCCAGCCTTCAACAATACGTGAACCATGAACTTCCAGATGTTCAAGCTGGTTTTAGAAAAGGCAGAGGAACAAGAGATCAAATTGCCAACATCCGCTGGATCATCGAAAAAGCAAGAGAGTTCCAGAAAAACATCTATTTCTCCTTTACTGACTATGCCAAAGCCTTTGACTATGTGGATCACAATAAACTGTGGAAAATTCTGAAAGAGATGGGAGTACCAGACCACTTGACCTGCCTCTTGAGAAACCTATATGCAGGTCAGGAAGCAACAGTTAGAACTGGACATGGAAAAACAACTGGTTCCAAATAGGAAAAGGAGTACATCAAGGCTATATATTGTCACCCTGCTTATTTAACTTACATGCAGAGTACATCATAAGAAACGCTGGGCTGGAAGAAGCACAAGCTGGAATCAAGATTTCTGGGAGAAATATCAATAATTTCAGATATGCAGATGACACCACCCTTATGGCAGAAAGTGAATAAGAACTAAAGAGCCTCTTGATGAAAGTGAAAGAGGAGAGTGAAAAAGTTGGCTTAAAGCTCAACATTCAGAAAACTAAGATCATAGCATCCGGTCCCATCACTTCATGGCAAATAGATGGGGAAACAGTGGAAACAGTGGCTGACTTTATTTTGGGGGGCTCCAAAAAATGGACATGGGTTTGGGTGGACTCCGGGAGTTGGTGATGGACAAGGGAGACCTGGAGTACTGCGGTTCATGGGGTCACAAAGAGTCAGACACGACTGAGCTACTGAACTGAAGCTCTATTCAAAACTACACAATAAAAATTTTTGTTCATTCACCTTAATAAAAATGCTGTCCTATTAATTAGGAGAATGCTGATCTTTGAAATAGAAAAACTTATCAGCATCAGCAAGATGTAACAGAATGATAGTGACAGCTGGCCCCATAGCATTTAATAATTCAGTTAATTCCTTACAAAATTATGACACAAAAATTAATGTTTATCTTCATGGTTTCTTAGTTATTAGAGCTTACTATTAGGAATAAATGGGTGATTAATATAGTACTCTGTAGTAAAATCTCAAGCCTATCATAGATTTTTGGTGCCAGAATTAATCAAAGAACATTTAATCCAATCTTTTCATTTTAGAGAACAGAAAATTTTGGCAAAGAGTAGTTAAATCACTTGCCCAAGATCACACAAAAAAGTCAGAACTAGAAGCCAGATATTCTTATGCCCATTATTCCAAAATTCCATCCATTACACCACATTGTCTCCATGGTGAAGATTATGAGTGTGGGGGATCTTCTAGTTCAGGAAGGGTTTAAAAGATATATAAAAACATAAATTTTTGAATATCTTCACTTTATTCCTCATTGCTAGGATATGGGTGTAACTTTATTTTTTTTTCTTCTCCCAGATATCCCTTAGTTAAGTCAATCTGTACAGACTACAATGTTCACATTTAAACCTGTTCTTTAAGTATTATTAATGTTAACACTATCAAACTGTCTACTTCTATTTTATTTGAAAAACTGTTAAAATCTAAATCAGTCTAGACACTGTGCAAATAGATACTTATTTTTAAAGCAATTTCTTAATCTTAAACATCTGAGCAGTCTCCTTTTTTCCACTTTAAACAGGTTTTAATGAATAGGATCACCACATTGGATGGCAATTTAAAACAATAATCAAATATTGAGGATAGAGATTTCTGTTGTCACCAATTTTTGAGACATGTTTTACTTTCACTAAAAAATAATCTGTCAAAATTAAAATATTCTCAAAAACTTATCACAGTTTACATGAGACATAAAAATTGACAGTGCTGTATTTATAACACACCCTATGCTAGTATTTATTTTCTCTTAAGGTTTCTGAGTTTTCCCCATTTTCTGGCCTTTCTTTGAAACTTGGAGGAAGACTGTGAGTGAGTCTTTCTAAAGCTGGCACTGCTGGTTTGTACAACCTGCTTGCAATTCCGATGCTGCTCTTTGTGCCCATGCCTAGGGTGTGTTATAATCTTTTTGAAATCCTTACAGATGGAATCATACCTATTTTCAGGATCATTGTCATCGTCGTCATCATCCACTGTGACAGGCACTGATTTAGATAAGGCTTCGTCTCCTTGAAGGAACAAAAGTGTACTTAAAATTATCTACATAAGTAAAACCATGTAAAATATAACTGAAAGTCAAAAACTTTAAAATAACTAGTGAGTCCTAAACTACACTCTGCGATCCAAAACATGAATAAAAAGAATTTATAAAAAAAGTACAATGGGGAATTTAAGAAGTGTCAGCAGCAAAATAATAAATAGTTGGATCTTATATATTTCAAAGTTTCTTCCCACAGCACAAGAATTTTAAAACTCATCTTTCCTAGTAACAAATATTTTATCATTCACCATCATATTAGCATAAGTTTCTCACTAAAGTAGGCTTTGTACTGACCCGTTTAAAGTTAACAGATGTCTAACTTTTTCTGTATCATTGAAGAATTTTTTTAAAATGCTACCAATACTTGGTGATACCAAGTAACTGTAAAATATACTTGAATTTATACGGTGTTCATGAATAGAATCACCTAGAGATATATTAAAGTACAGTAAAACTTATTTCCTTACAAAAAGTAACATTTCTATCTTTTGATTAAAACTATAAAGTGATTAGGAGAAGGAAATGGTAACCCACTCCAGTATTCTTGCCTGAAGAATCCCGTGGACAGAGGAGTCTAGTGGGTTGCTGTCCACGGGGTCGCACAGAGTCGGACACGACTGAAGCGACTTAGCATGCATGCATGCATTGGAGAAGGAAATGGCAACCCACTCCAGTCTTCTTGCCTGGAGAATCCCAGGGACAGAGGAGCCTGGAGGGCTGCCGTCTATGGGGTCGCACAGAGTCGGACATGACTGAAGCGACTTAGCAGCAGCAGCAGTAGCATAAAGAGATTTAAAAAATTTGTACAGTTCATTGTATGTAAATTTTTACTTAAAAACAAACATTGTACCCTAGTTAACACTATATATGCTGAAGTAATCAGGGAGAATTATGCTAATTTCTATCATTTCTTTTCAAACGCATCAAAGATTTCAAGGGCATTAATTACACTGAGTGAAGAAAGACAATTTCAAAAGCTATACACTTCATGATTCCATCTCAAAATAACAGAATTACAGAGATGGAAATCAGATTAACAGTTGCCACAGGTTAAGAATAGGGATATGCAAGGAAGTGTGCATAGGGGTAGCACAAGAGAAACTTGTGGTAATGAAACAGTTCAATATACTGGTTGCTGTGGTAGCTATAAAGCTACATGATACAAATTTTGCACAGAACTATACTTACACACACACACACCCACCCACACATACACACACATGAAGGAATGCATGTAAAACTGATGAAATCTGAATAAATCATCAGTTTCCTGGTTATGACACTGTACTATAATTATGAAAGATTGATACCATTGGAGGGAAATTAATGAAAGACATCCAAGACCTCCTGTACACTTTCTTGCAACTTCCTGTGAATTTATAATTATTTCAAAATAAATAAAACAGGGGGCAAAAGTTAGGTTCATTGATGGATAGATAGGATATATAAATTAAAGTATGTGATAAAGCAAATATAGCACAATGTTAACAGTAGAAACCCTTCTGTATATTTAACATTTTTTCCTAAAAAAATACTGGGTGAAAATGTTGAAGAAAAAAATTCACAAGGAACACAGACACCTACAGGTTCAGGATAGAAATATGCTAACTGTAGAAAGGCAAAAGTAAATCTCCCAATTAACCTTAGCAAACTGACATAAATACTTCATTCAAACAGGTCAATCCTCAAATTAAATAGTACTAGTGATATTACTGCTGTTCCTCCTTACCACATCTTTGAAAATTTGACCCATTCTTCAAATATGAGTTCAAATACTACCTGTTCTTTTAAGTCTTCCTCCAATATTTGGATAACTGGCTCACCTACTATTTATCACACAGACTCATTTTAGTTTTACATCTTTCTCCTGGTATTCTTTTTTTTAAAATAATGACTTATCTATGTCTATCTTGCTCATTGGACTGCAATCTCCTAGGACCATGTTCCTTATCATGGTTAGTCATGCCATTCCCAAGACCAACTAGAAAATGTTGTATGCTGTAATCGATCCCCAACTATTGCTGAATAAATTGGAACCCTCTAAATTCATGGGAGCAGGGGAGGCTTTTTAAGAGCTCATAAAAATTGTCACCTGAATTAAGTTGGATATATTAGGAGAACAGATAAATTGAGCATGCTTTGTATACAAGCATGCAAATTCTTAAGGAATGCCACTTATCATTGACTCACACCCAAACTTATCCTGGAAATCAGGGCTTTTAACATAGTGCTTATTTGCAATTCCTTGAATATTTTTTCTAAGTATTTCTATCAATAAAGTCCAATTTTTATTTAATTTTTTATTGAAGTATAGTTGACAAAGTCCAATTGTTAGATGAGTTCATTCCCTAGCAAATTTATCCTCCTTTTTTACATCTAAAAGTAAAATCAGTCCAAGAAATACCCAGACTGAAGAAAATTTGAACAACAAAGTTTATTCCACCAAACAGTTGCGGAACTGGCATCTTGCCTGAAGTGCAAAATTCTCAAGGCTTTTCTGGATATAAACATGAAAAAAGGGAAATGAACCCTCTTGGGTAGTAGCCATATGTTGCCATCTCTTATTAAGAGCTAATCAATATATATTATTTATTAAAATAGTTATTAACAGTTCTAAGTATGAGAATTATAATTCTCATAGAAACCCTCATATGTGTCAGTGAGATTTGGGGAGTTGAAAATTAGTATCTGAAATCAAACATGCGGAATTCCCTAGGGAGGCTGTTTTATCATGGAAACCAATTTTACAAAGTTTGATTAGTCTAACAGTCTAGAATTTGCAAATGAGAATACTCTATGTAACTAACCACAATTTATTATTCTCACATTCTAATCCTAATAAGAGTTTTTTCGACTAACCTGATAACCAAAACATTGAATTGATATCAAAGCAACTATTATATTATGTTTTGAATACAAGTTCACAATCTTATATGCAATTCAAAAATCTAAGAAGTTCTCAAAATTTAAAATTTTGTAAGGTGGTACCAAAGTTTACTTGGCAGCAATATCTAATCTGAACTGCTTATTCCTCTTACATGTAAATGTTCATATGTTCTGCTGGGAACACAATAGTAAGTGCAATCTCCTTTACAAAAATTTTTAAATAAACTTTAAGTGTCCTTGGTTAACTGACAGGTTTTATTGACTTAAAAAAAAAAGACAATATGAGCAACAAGCATACATTTATTATACAACTATTTTTTTTAAGAACTGCCATAATGATAAATATTTTTAATTTTTTGACCCACACCCTTACTGTCCTAGTGCTCTATCTCATCAGGGTAGAGTAATCCATCTACTTTCTGGATTTTTTTCTTTTTCTATTTTGTTAATGTTAAAAATGGAAACATCTGTTCATGTTATTAGAAAAAAAATGATGAGCATCAGCAATGGGTTTCAATAAAGTAAATTTAAGTTTTTCAGAGGATTTCATAGACACAAAGTTAATGTGTCCAATGTAAAAGTCAGGGCTGATTCATGTGAATGTATGGCAAAAACCACCACAATATTGTAAAGTAATTAGCCTCCAATTAAATTTAAAAAAATCAACAAAAGTCAGATGCACGGCAAAGCAGTTAAAACTTTCACATAACATGTCATACTCATAACAAGCACTCATCTCCATTACATGAGTAAATGTCTACTGAACTACTATCAACAGTCTGATTTTCCTTCATAAATTACTTTTCATTAGTCCAAAGAAAAGCATTAAACATTAATAAAGAGATTTACCCAACAAATTTGGTACACATGACACAGAACACTAATAATGTTTCAAATACCTCCCAATGGTGACAAAAAAAATTGGAGAAAGAGGTTCTAGAAAATCTCTAAAGAATTTTTAAATGGTGTTTTCCTACAGAATAAGTAACCTTGCATTTGACTGACTACAGAGAAAATAAACAATGTAGTTATTCAACAGGGAAAAAGTATAAATTTTCTATTTATTTTCCCATACCTGAAGATTGACAAAATCCAGTATGTGACGACAGCACTAAATTTTCAGTCACAGGCTTAATTTTCTGCTCATCACTGCTCCCCTCACCTACAGATTTCTGATCATCATCTCCTATATCAGAAGAAGATGAGGAAGTAATGTCAGCCTGCTTTCTTTTGGTGCTTGTTCTCAGGGAGTTTCTCATTTTCTCCTTCATACTGCCTGCCTTCTTTTTAGCTGAAGTTCTTTGTTTCTTCAGGTTTTTATTATCTTCAGAACTTTCCTCAACATCAGAAGATGATGAGCCACTTTGTACTTCCTTGCTATTTCTATTTGAATTTAAATTCCTTCTTTCCCTTAATTCTATTCTTTTTGGTCTCTTATCAGAAAAATCACAACCATCTTCTTTCATGGAATATTTTTCAGTATCAGATGATGAACAATCCTGTCTCTTCCTCGAACTCTTTTCAGGCAAGTTGAACCTTTTCTTCTCTCTACTGGATGTTCCATTCTTACTTCTCTTATCTTCTGAAGAGTCACAACTTTCTCTTTTTCCTGGTAACTTCTCAGAATTATCAGATAATTCACCCTTCTTTTTAGAAGCTTTATCTTTTATTTTTTTGCATTTCTTTTCCCCATCAGCTGAGCTCTTATTTTGTTTTATGCTTTTAGGAAAGTGACAAATTTCTTCTCCCTCAGGTAATTTCTCAGTACTATCAGATGATGATTCATACTCTTGTTCCATCTTAATTACTTTTTTATTCAAGTCTGCAGTTTTCTTTTCTTTTTCTTCCACTGCCTTTTTGCTCTGCTTGTTATCATCTTCAGAGGATTCATCACTCTGTTCTTTCTCTGAGAACTTCTCAGCAACATCACATAAGCCACCCAGTATTTTCTTACCCATTCTGGTTCGCTGGTGCTTACTCTTTCCTTTAGATTCAGCAACCATTTTATCTTCTGAAGAATTAAAACTCTCCTCTTTCCCAGAACAAAGCTTATCAGCACTCTCTAAGGAAACATTGGGCTGCTGCTTCTTAGAGAGGCGATCTCTCAGTTCCATGATGGTCTTGTCTTTATCAACTGTGCCTTCTGCTGAAGAGAAATTCTCTCTCTCTTGTTTCCTTTCAGCATCATCAGATGATCCTTCCTGTGCAGTCCTCAAACTTTTATGACCTTGATCATCCATTCCTTTTTTGCTGTGTTTTTCATCTTCAGAAGAATCATAATCTTCTTTATTTGGAACTCTTTTTTTGGTTGTTCTGGCAGTCCCAATTTTACTCATACTCTTTATCTCTTTTTCTAATTCTGAGTCATAATTAGAAGATTCAGACTGGTTTTGCCGTTTCTTTTTAGAAATTATAGCCTTTTTAACTGATTTACCTTTCTTAATATCAAAATCTGAGCCAGAAGTAGAACTTTTTCGTTTCCTTTTTCTTTTATCATCTTTCCCTCTTTGAATCTTTGAATAAAAAGTCTTCTCATTATTTGTATGAGGTTCATTAATATCAGTATCTGAAGAACTGTGACTCATACTGGGCACGTCTTTGAGGATTGCCAGCATTTCATCAGAATCTGAAATGTGATCCACAATCTCTGACTGCTTAGATTTAGGCAATTTATTAGGTTTAGGATTATCTATAGCAGTGTCAGAAGAATTCCGCTTATCCTTTTTTCTCACTGGGACCGAAAGTTTTTGCTGCTCCTTAAGTGTTTCATTATTTTCTTCATCCGAATTAGATGTTGTACGGTTGTTTTCTGTCTGTCGCCTCAAAGGTGTCGTCTTTACACGCGGGGATCTTCGAAGATCAGATTCTTCTGAAAGTAACGGAACTTCACTTTTAGCCAAATGCTCATTATCATTCTTTTCCTGTCCAAGTTCACAGTTCTCTGGCTTAGGATTCAGACAAGAACTTTTATAGCTATCTTTATCTTGTGGAACTTCCTGACAATCAGCACCTTTAATTGGGGAAATAGAAAGGGAAACAGGGGTGAGTTTAACATATAATTCTTTTGTTACTTTAGCTGTTGTTTTTGATTTAATACCTCCTCTGTTGTCTTTTGAAGTAATATTTAATTTTACAGAAGTCTCCAGTTCTTGCTCAGTTCCACTGTTGCCATCTCCCTGATAATCTGCTGAACTCTGAACTTCCATAGCAGTCTCAAGATTCTCAAAAATGTCTTCTGGAACTGAGGAAGGAACAGACACAATATCCATGTCTAAGTCTTCGGAAGTATTAGTAGGTTCATACTGAGGTTCTTTTTTATCAGATTTCTTATGTTCAGTACTGGCATTTTTATGTGCTCTTTGTTCCTCTACTGCAACACTCTGACCCACATGCTCACTATCTACCTGCTTTCTTGACAGTTTACCTTCTGATTTTGAAATATCCTTCCTTTCCAAAACACAAGGTTTTTCTCCTTTTCTTACTTTTGTTTCAGACTTAGCATCTATGACTTTATGCTCTTTGGTATTTTTCTCTTTGTTTACAGCATCCAAAGTGTGAATCTCTGAATTCAAATCTTCTTCTAATGCAAGATGAGCTTTCTTGATATCAGCCAACACAGACTTAAAAGCCTTAAGCTGACGTAACTTTGTAGCGGAATTGATTTCTGAATTATCTGTTGCCTGCTTCAAAAACTTAACGTAACTGGAATTCATGTTGGCAGTAGTCTCAATCAGTTTTTTTGTCTTCTTAATCATGTCCTTGGGCACAATTAGTGCTGAGTAAGAGTAGGTTACAGAACCAGAATATGAATCATCTAACTTCTTTTCTTCTCCATTACAATTTGGACTGTTCTTCTTTGGAGAAAATCTGGGTGCATGATCATATACTTTACTACTCTTTTCATTGTCAACTTTTATCTTCTTCTTATTTTGTTGCAACAACTGTTCTAAGTTTTCAAACACGCTGTTACACGCCGTGACCAAGTCCAACAAAGGCTCTGGGTGACAAATGTAGCAATACCATTGGTTGTTTTCATCCATTATTGTAGACAGCTCCTTTCGACCAAGGTTGCGAAGAATGCACTTCTTACAGAAGGCATTATGGCAAAAGTCACAACAAATTAAGTTTCCACCTTCTGCACACCATCTGCAATTATTTAAAGATTAAAATATTATTCCAAAATGAAACTCTTTTAAAATCTTTATAGTATTAAAGCAATTAAAATTTCTTGCCAACAATTTTAATAGCAAAGTAATTTAGGTCATTTACTTATTCTTTGTTAGAAAATTAAGACATAAATCAAGGGCTATGTGGAAAAGAACAACCTTCCATTAAAGATATCAATGATGATACCACAAAAAAGAAAAGATTTAATAACAGACTATGTAAGAATTTTCCCTCAAAAGTAGACAACACTGAATTTTAGTTCATCTTGATTTATTACCTACCTACACTGTTCATCCATTCCATCTGAGTCACGGCTAATATCATCACTCATGTAATATTTAAAGCAATTCTATTAAAAAAGAGAGAGAGGGAAAATTTATTCAAAATTTTTAACATTCATAAAGGAGAAAAACTTCACTTTTAAGTCATTAAAAAACTAAATGGAATGTATCTATGTATATGTGTGTGTGTGTGTTTTAGAGAATCAAAGCAAAAACACTGTGCCACCCCAGCTAGTACTTTAGAGACACAGGAATAGCTCAAGAAATTAAAACAGACTTCCATATCATCAAGTACCACTGTTCGTTATATAAAAATTGATAGAAGATTTTGGTAAGGCAAATTTCTGATCTCATATGGCTAGCTACCAAGGATCTACATAAAAATGTATTAGATTTGTTGTTACTTAATACTAATGTAATAGTCATCATATATAAACAGCTATTGTGTGTAGAGCTGAGCAAGAGTATCCTTTTCTGCCCTATTTTATCTTTAAATCTCCAATACCTACTGTGTAAGATAGGCAGTATTACTGCCCAATTTGAGAGAAAAGGCTTTGATTCATTAATATGTAAATAAATCTCCAAAAGTCATACAATTACAAAGGCAAAACTGGTATTCAAATCCAAATCTGACTGACTTTATTTTTTTTTTTCTGACTGACTTTAAATTCCTTCTCACTGGAACTAAAGAAAAGGGAATGTTCCATGACCACTGATAACAACTACTGATTACTGACCTGGGCTCAACAGACTGGCCTTTGAAAAAAACCAATCACATATACAAGAAAAAAGGAATGCACATTACAAACCCAATAGATGCAAAATTCAGCTGTCAGTGTTTAAAACTAGAAGCCTGACTGAACTGAATTCAAAGAAAGGAAGGACACAAATTACTAAGAGGCATAAAATTTAGCTTAAGTTGGTCTACATCTATCAAAAATTCATGCAAGATCTACAAATGGAACTCTGATTAAGAAAAGTCTGGTCTGCCCCTACAATTCAAGTAGATATTTTATTGGAAAACAAACTATTACAGGATTAATTTAGCACTAATATGAGTTGGGGAAATGATGTTTGATAAAGTAGACATTTAAAATTAATTCCAAGGTATTACTTATAAAAAAGTTTACATAGACTGTTAAAATTATCTTCAATACATATGAAATATTTTTTAAATCTACGATCTCCAAATTAAGTCAAAACACTGCTCTAAATGGAGAGTTTAGATTTGAGTAATCAGGGTATGTAAACAGGGAAGGTTATGTGCGGGAAGCAACCTAGATGCCCATCAGCAGACAAATGGATAAGGAAGCTGTGGTACATATACACCATGGAATATTACTCAGCCATTATAAAGAATTCATTTGAATCAGTTCTAATGAGATGGATGAAACTGGAGCCCATNCCTTTCATGGCTGTCTTCCCCACTACAGTATATGGCCTCCAATGGCAGAAACCATTTCCATCTTCATCACTGTGCATCAAAATCAAAAAGCATTGAATGCATGTTAAGCATTCAAATATCTGTGGAATTATCAACATATCATTACATACCTTACAAATAAGTACTTGCAGTGAAGGATGTCTATAAATGGAATCTTTTTGAAAATGATTGACCTGTTGTCCACAAGCTGTACAGCTCACAATCCCATGAAGCCCATCTTCTAGAAGAAAAGAGTGAACATTATTCACACATAGACACACATGCAAAAAGATATATATTTTAGTTAGCATTTCCCAACATTCAAATTGAAAATTAAATACTTCATAATCCTTGGGAAAATGACATTTTAGACACAAATAAAAAGGTTAATAATTTTATGGACTTACTAAAAACATGACAACCTTGACAAATTACAGAGCTAACTTGCTCCCTTTTACAGATGCAAACCCTATTTCTCACAACAACTTGATTTAACATGAAGAGATTCCATAAACGAAGTTCTAAAAATAGGTGTCAAGAGCTCTTTTCGTTTTGCTACTACTTCACAAATAAATTCAGCATCAGTTCTTAAAGAATGGAGAAGCAAGTGAAATACATGAAATAGATTCTATTGGAACCCTATACTTAAGTTAGGTATGCCATAAAATTTTTATTCTCAAAATGGAATTGTCTATATAGATCCTTTCAAAAGTATGTAAAAACCTGATAACTTTATATTACCAATTTCCCTCCTCAGAGTCCCTTCAATACTATCCACGATCCCCATTAACCTGCCTTTTTTCTATATCTACTCCATTGTCAAGTCCATATCAGCACTGTCCACTATTTCCAAATATGGACAAATAAGATTTGCAGGTATATCTATGTTGGCAGGAAAACCTCAGAATGGCTGGATTTTGACAGAGCCCCATGCCACGGTTTCTGCAGAAAAACAGATTGAAGACAACCTACACAAGAATAAAGGGAACTTCTGCCTCACCCTCATCTCTAGTTCTGCACAGTGCTTCACAATCTGAACTGAAAATTAGAATCAGACAAAGAATCTTTTAAAAACAGGGACAGCCATCCCCATCCCTAACGCACTGAAAGTTTTACAGGTGACTCTTGATGTGCAAACAACTCTTATCCAAATAAGATGATAGAATATGACTCAAAAGAGGCCAGTGAAAATGCCTGCATTCACTGAAGGAAAAAAAAAGGGGGGGCGGGGGAATAAGACTTAAAAAAAAATGAAAAAAATTGTCTCTATCCCTAACAAAAAGACAAAACAACACATGTATTTCTCACCTTTTAATTTTCTATTTTGTGTTATTCTTAGTTTTAAGGTCCAAAGCACCAGGGACCCAAGTATTAGCACAAATATTTTTACTTGCAGAAGTTAGAAAAGGTTAACAAAAGTATAAGGGCACCACCACACTCTATAAAGCTGCTTATATTTTATTTTAAATCATACCATCCTGCATTAGTATTTGATTGTGAGTATTGATATATTTTTTACTTGAAACACAAATAAATATACAGTGTGTTTTTTCATATCAAATAATTATATTCATATAAGCTGACAAGGTAATGAAAAGCTAGAGTATAAATGTTCATCCAGTGTTAGATAATATTTATTAAGCATCTTCTTTATGCTTTTGCACATATATCACTCAAGAATTTTAAAAAGCTAGGTGATTCAATGGAGAATTTTCCCCAAATGTGCATAAGGAATCATAAAGGATATTCATTGCAGTACTAACTAGCAATTGGGAAAAATTTGAAAACAAAAAATTAGAAATAATTTCACATTTAGGAAATGAATAGTGCTTTACTTATATAACTGAATTCTATAGAACAGTGAAAAGTAAAAAACCAGATTATACATTTACTGATATGAATACATTTCAAAATCAAAGTTGAATAAAAATTGTTGCAAAAGGATATCTACAGGATACTACTTTGTATATTTTTTAATGAAAAACAAATACTTTTTGAGCAAAATTAGGTAAAAAAAATATAAAAACATGCATGGAAACAGCACAAATGCACACAAACTTCAAATAATCACAACCTGAAGTGCAAAAGAAAGAGGAAATAGGAATAAACCAATACTTTATTAAGTGAGATCTGAAGCAAATATTGTAAACTGGTTAGGTGGTACTTCACTAGACATACTTGCTTCTATGGATGTATGTTTTATTTTTTTAGTTATGAAATATCATAATGGTTATAATACAGCATATAAATGGAAAAGAGGCATTTTCATTTCTGACCTCAATACATTTTATCAATCTTAAGGAGAGAATTATTCTGTCATATAGAAAAATTAAATGTAAAATATGTTTTCTAACAACTAAACTAGGGAAAGGATGTCAAAATCAGCTATGGTATTTAAAAAAACAATGGCTCCTTAAATGGTCAATATCTTTGTGTCTAATTTTGTTTCAAATCATTATAAGACTATTTTATGTATAAAGTTTACCTTCTTGACAGTTTCCTAAATTAGACTTCAATTTTAAAACTAACTTTCCTAGGGAGTTTGAATATTAACCAACAGTTCAGTACCTCAGATCACTAGTTCATCCATACATGTGTATATAGGTAAACACGGTTAAAATCCTGTGTGATTTCCGACAGCTTAAAGATGTAGCAAATTATTAAGACAAAAATTAACAAGATTTAGCTATCATATAGCTATAAACACACATATTCCCTTAAGCACAATATAAACATCCTTATACAGAACACTCAATAAAATGTTCCAGAGACATATCAGCTCAGACCAAATACCAGCAGCATAGTAAATTAGCACTAAAAACACCCTCCCCGATAATTGTAGCTCTTTTTTATTCTCCTTTTAGCCATTATCCATATCTGAGGCACTGACTACTCCAGAGTCCCTCCCCAAAAGACACCACTAGATATTAATTTTGACACAATGCAGTATACTTAGTTATCTGTCTTCCTAGAGGATCCATAATCAGAAATGAGAAAAAATAAAACTCTTACTGCTGGTCCTTTATCATCATCTTCTACTTGCTGATTCTCTTATTTTAAAGACTACTACTCAGCTTTGGTGAGCTCTGTTGCTGCAAAGGCAATTTCCCAACTATGAATTATTCTCAAAAAATCTTCCTTACGCTTGAAAAGGGGTAGAACACCCCCTGGTGGACAGAAGACTAAACTACATTTTCTTGATCTCTAAACCTAATGAATTCAATCTGAAAATTTACATATATATTTATACACACATCTAATATAATATACAGATATATTTTACTGGTACCACCAAGATATCATATAGCACTGGAATAAAATCTACACAAAATGTCAGCAAGATAAAAACTACTCTATAATTTCACAATTAAAATGATAAATATTAAACAGACAGGCTTCCATTACACTTCTATTTAGAAATTTAGTGTCATTTCTATCTTTTAGAGATTGATTCTTTCTACCATAACGGATTCTGGCTCTGTTAATCTGCCCAAAAAATACATACAGGCACTACTTTAAACTCACACACAAACAAGTATGACACAAACTTCACTGTAGTGAATTTTTAAATGAATCTTCCTCATGCTCACTTTCTACAGATCTAGTCAATGGTTGTGTGTATAAGTGAGGGTGGACAGACAAAGGAAGAGGTGACTGAGACAGATGAAGGGAGGTTCCTAGCTCTAGTTCCCTTCTCCTTCCTATTCATATCTACACTGATATCCTTAGACCAACAGATGTCTGACTTTAATACACATAACAACAAACTGGAGCAGGGTCTTGACATCATCCCCAGAAATTCTAAATTGTCATGAGTGGAGTCAAGGGAACTGCATTTTTAATATAAGTACCCGAGGTGACACTAATGCAGATGTCCATCACTCTCTGAAACAATGTTTTAGATATGTATAAAGTTATCTGAAGGCCACGTGCAAGACTTTGTCCAAATCTAAAATTCTTTCAGGTGAGAGGAAACACATGGTATTCTGGCATTACAGAACTAACATGTGTAAGAAGGAAATACTAAGCTTCTTGAGATAACTTAATAGCCACTGAAGGCAAAGGTATTTTAAGCAATGGTGTTTAACCTTTTCTGCTTCAGAGCTCAGAAAGAAACAGAAGTTATTTTTAAGTAGTGCTTTTAAAAAACAATGGGCAGAAAAGTGGAGGTATTTTTAGTAAGCACATCAGATTTTCCAATATGGTCATAAACAGCAATTTAAACTCATGTTTTCATTTTCACTTGTATTTACCTCCGCGTTTTTTGAGATTTTCAGTTTTCATTTTACTTCTGCTTCTAAATTCAGGCCCTTTAAAATCATCTTTGTCTTCATTCAGCACTGGCTCTGGTTGTACAATCACTGTACCTAGAATGATTTCATTTAAAAAACCATTACACATATTAAATGTGCAAGTGAAGTACAAGACTCCAGATAAAGCCAACATTGCTGGAACATAGTTTTGTTTCTTTCAAGCTTTCAATATTTATATAAGGACCTCTCAAGAATAAATAAAACAGGGAAATAGTAAAAGGGCCAAGTGTCAACAATCAAATTACTTGTTGGAATATAGTTCATAAAAAATGGTGTGTCAGGGGGGAAGTATTATGAACTGATTTGTTAACAGAAATGTGTGAATAAAGTTAAAAAGCCTTAGCCCAGTTCTCAATTTTTATACTGCCTATCACAAAAGCTTTTTTGACTATGAACATCTACACTAAGTTCTACAGTTTAAAAAATAAAAGGATCAGAAAAGAAAGTTTTAAAGACATCCTATTCTTCTCATAAGCCAAACCATAAAGGCAGCAAAATATTCTTAAGTGTTGTTTTATATTCTGCTATTACTGCTGTACTATTCTGTACCATTTCCTAAATAGTTAAGTCAAAGTTTCAGTACCCTGAAAGTCCCTAAAGAGTTTTTTTCCCCCCTAAAGAGTTTTAAACAAATACTGCCTTAGGTGCTTAAGCTCAAGTGCTATAACAATAAATTGCAGAATGAAGTCAATTGTTGGTCCCTATGGAATCTTTTAGAAACAATGTACTCTCTTAGCTAAAAAACATGTGAACTGAGGAGAGAGGTTGCTAATTTTTCATTTTAATCTCTCAAGAGCAAATAAAGCAGAGGCATGGTAAAAAGGGTCCAGGTCTCACTTTACCTATATTGCTGGGCTTAGTAATTAGGCATTGTTGTTTAGTCGCTAAGTCATGTCTGACTCTTTTGTGAACTCAAGGACTGTAGCCCACCAGGCCCCTCTGTCCATAGGATTTCCCAGGCAAGAATACTGGAGTGAGTTGCCATCTTCTTCTCCAGGCGATCTTCCCGATCCAGGGATTGAACCTACTTCTCCTGCATTAGCAGGCAGATTCTTTACCACTGAGCCACCAGAAAAGCCCAACTGGGTATTACTGACAACAATTAAGAAAGTATAGTCGTCCCTCAGTATCCATGGGGGATTTGTTCCAGGACCCCCTGGGATACCAAAATCCGTGGATGCTCAAGTCCTTTATATAAAATAGCATCATAGTATTTGCCTATAACCTATGCACATCTTTCTGTATACTTTAAATCATCTCTAGATTACTTACACTACCTAACACAATGTAAACCCTATATAAACAGTTGCCAAATGAAAACTCAAGTTTTGCTTTTTGGAACTTTCCAGAATTTCTTCCCCAAATATTTCTGATCTGAGATTGGTTGAATCTGCAGAGGCAGAACCCACGGATATGGAGGGCGAACTGTAAAACCTGGTAGTTGTCAGGGGCTGTTTCCCTGAAACATAGGTCTATGTTAGTCAGCAGTGAGGTTTAACCGAGGTTAAAAGAATTTCTGAGTCTCTGAAAAAACGGGGGGAAATAGGGCACAAAGGACTGAGTTTTTTACAAGCTGGTAAATATAAGCAATTTCCACACACAAAAAAAAAACCTTTATTCACAACAACCATTTCACATATATACTCTCAGAGAAGCCCTGGCATTTGAAAAAAGCTAAAGATTTACAGGTAACACCCACCCACCCCATACACACACACTGGGGGGAAAAAAAAACAGATTTCTTTCTGAAGATTCTTCTCTAAATGAAAGCAAAGCAGCAGAGTGGAAAGAGCACTCACTAGCTTTGGATTCAGGCAGACCTGGGTTCAAATCTTAGCTTCTCAATTTAAAGCTGAAAAAGTTCCTTGAGCTCTGAATTTGTTCCTTCATCTCTACAAGTAGAAACAATAACTACCTTACAGCATTGCTTTGAGAATTAAATGAGTTAATTTTTTAAGAGTCCAGTACTTATACATACTCAGTATTATAACAATAGTGATAATCAACCAAATTTGACCTTATGAAACAGGTCTATTTTGGTTTGGTGGAAGAGAATTACCCTTAGTTCAGGTTAGTAACATCCCATATTAACTTTCTTCCTTATATAATATCACTAAAAGAAAGATTGGAATTCCTAGTTCTTAGCTCACCCAGTGGCCATCATAAGGACTTGCAGTAACAACCACTGAGAATGTAATAATCCAAAGTGAATCACTACCTATGAAACTCAGACTGCCATGTTAGCTGTTTCTGCCTTAGGCCACCAAAACTATTACATAAAATGATTTTCAAAGCCAAGTAAATGGTAGGCCCATCAATTTTTCTTCTTTCTTCCTCCTCTCATTCATTTATTTTCTTCATTCATTTCTTATCTATTGTAACTCCTAATTTTTCCTAGTCAAGAAATATATTATCCTCCTACTCATCATTTTCTTAAACTTCCATAATCAAAATATGTGTCACATACACATAAGTAGAGACAGAGAATAAAGTAGTAAACATTGCTGTAAATGATCAGTGATAACAAATCTGAAAAATCTAAGAGCCTTGAACATATTATTCAATAAAGAAACAAATCAAAACTTTTGATTCTGAAACACCATGAAATTACCAAGACCCATGTCATTCTCTCATCATGTAATCACACTGCTCTTAGACTTGAAATATGAAAAGTCCAAGATTTTCATTTGGCTTCTCCCCTACCCACCCCTACCCTGGCCCCAATCTAATCAATGCAACTTTTAAGATTAGAAACATAACAGTTGTGAGGAAATGTGACAAGGCATTTTAAAAAGGATAATTACAAGAAATATACCTAAATCAAATTTAACAGGTAACTTCACTTTGAATCTTAGGGAATTTAAGAATGCAGTAAGAATAAATTAGACTTTAAATGTTTTTAAGACGTTTTCAGAGCATTCATTATGTTTTTCTGTAAAGCAAGCACAATAAAATTCACTGAACCAAAACTTAACATACTAAACATTTAAACCAACTTCCACATTCAAGTATAATTTGGAAACTAAAAGCCAATGGAAAGAGAAAATAAGTTTTCTTTTCAAACCTGACTATATATTCTAAATATTTAACCTCAGGAACAAACATTATCATTACCATACTAATACATTTCGAAACCATTGCTACTTAAATGTCAGGTTTGGTGCTTGACACACAGCTTACAATAATCAATTTCTAATTTTATAGTAATGACATTTAAAGATATTTTTCAACTTCAACTTCATATGAAAAATTAATACACTTTACCTTTTGGCAAGCTTTGCATAGTAATATCATTTTCTGAATTTTCATTAGAAGCATCTTCATTTACAGTTTCATCCAAAGGTTTTTCATCATCAGATTCTACATACTTTGTTACAATTGAAGGTTTCCTATGAAAAAATTAAGTCCATAGAATTACAGACATTTCTGACAATTGAAAAACACCAAAATAACATAAATAACATGTTTAGATTAAGCAGTGGCTCTTAACAGCTTAATCCCTTAATCCCTGCTTAACATAGGGATACATATCAAAATCACCTAGGGAAGCATACATCTCTATACCACATTACAATTTAGTAGGTCTTGAGCAGGACCAAGGCATGCACATTCTAAAAAAAGTAAAGAGTATTTAGAGGGGAATTCCTATTTAAGAATCACTACCTTAGGGAATAAGTTAATAACAAGCAAACTGTGATTATTAAAAGATATTTATTTCCACTAGTTTAAAATAAAAACCAAAATCCAACAGAATAAACTGCAAACTTCTAATAAAAACTATATTTCATAGTATAATACACATTACATTATGCTTGGAAGTAATTTCAGTCTTTATGTACAATTCACTTTGACAATTTAACACAGATAAGTATTTTAACCACTCTTTGATCTTCTTATAACTTCCTTATAACTATTATGGCTACCATTTCCCATCCTAGACAATTTCGTATAACCCTAAAAAACTCATATTGCCTCATGAAACATTTAACATTTCATTTCCCCTTTTCTCCTTTTTTTAAAGCACATATATTATCTGAAAGGAATTACCTATATACTGCCAGGGCCACTAGTACATAATAAATCCTCCCCTGGGAAAATTTTAGTTAAAATTAAAAGTGATAGATACAAGAGGATTCATTATATTACACTGCCCTTTTTAAAATATATATGCTTATGTAAAATAGTTTACTTAGAACAAGACTGCTTGAAGTTTAGGAAAAAACAGATTATTCTAATAAAAAGGAAATAAAACAACCTGAAAAAGAAAGTAACTTTTTTCCCTTCAGTATCAACCAACCTCTTTGATCGTGATGATCCTGATGATTTGGATTTTTCTGCAGAGCTAGCTCCCTAAATGCAAGAAATAAGTACATAAGTTAGTAAAACTGAGAAACATGCCTACAATTATTTCCCTATACCAACATCTATAATATAATGGTAGAATGAGACGTAATTTGTATGCCTAAAACATTTTTCTAAAAGGAACATCAATAACTAATTCTCATTTACTCTCAAAGTTTCCTTGATTTAAGACTATCTCTTTTTGTTAATATATTACGTTTGAATTTTGAGGAATAGAAGATGATACACTGCAGTACCATGAACTTGGCCTATGCCGACAAAAGACAAAACAAAGATGTAGAGGTAACCAGATCCCAATAGACAGTTTTAAGAATCTAAAAATGTGTCATTTTCTCTATGCTAATACATGGCACAGAGTACCTTCTACAATTTTCTCAGAGATACTAAATTTACCTCCATTTTGCCATACAAACAGTATATTTTTTTTTTTTCCTTTTTTTTCCATTTATTTTTATTAGTTGGAGGCTAATTACATCATTACAGTAGTTTTTGTCATACATTGAAATGAATTAGCCATGGATTTACATGTATTCCCCATCCCAGTCCCCCCTCCCACCTCCCTCTCCACCCGATCCCTCTGGGTCTTCCCAGTGCACCAGGCCCGAGCACTTGTCTCATGCACCCAACCTGGGCTGGTGATCTGTTTCACCCTAGATAATATACGTTTCAATGCCAAACAGTATATTTTAATTGGATTCAATTTTTCACACTGGGTAGAAAGAATCCTAAAACACAGTGTAGGCTGGCATCATCAGGTGAAGGACCTCAGGACGGGTTCTGATAATAATGCTGAAGAGATTCTGAATATACATCTCAGAACCATAAGTTTATGCCCATAACAACCACCTTGAGTCATCACTGTTACAATATAATAACATTCAAATATCTGTTAGCTATCCTTCGGTAGTCTGACTTTAGGTGAAGCAAACCACAGCACTAACAAAAACAGTGAATACCATCAAAAAGTGAACAATTACTGAAAATAAAGTTATCATAATAATACTTGGTTATAACAGTAAACTCAAACACAAGCATATATTAAATAAAAGCAAACTGATGACACCTACTCTAGTTGGTTAGTAGTATGTAATAAATATCTTTTAAATGCTCCAAGTTATTCTTACCTCTTCCCTGCTGTTTTCCATCATATCAGAGTTATTGCCAGAACCACTGACTTTATCTTAAAAGACAAAAAATGAAAACATTATTTATCTCTTTGGTGCATTATCAAACAGAACACCAATACCTACAATTCTATGAACCCATTTTTCAATCTATGTTGCATGGCAGTATTGATAACACTTTACTCACATTAAAATATAAGAGTTTTCTATCAACTATACTCCAGTAAAAATATTTTTAATATACTGCTTTGGTTAAAAAACGTTTTCTGACTATAATTACCCTTTTGACACACCAATCCCTTTTTAAAACCGCGTTTCTGAAAGGAGCAGTTTGTAATCAAAACATTTCCTATTGTAATCTTTTAAAGATTTTCTCTTAAAAGAAAACTTAAGTTCCATCTTCTACTAAAAATAAAACCACACTATTAATTAATTGCATTGAGTTGGCCAAAAAGTTCATTCAGGTTTTCCCATATCATCTTCCAGAAAAACCCAAATGAACTTTTTGACAAACCCAATATATTTTCCTTTATCAGTAAAGACTTTAGTAGATTAAACCTAAAGAAAGCAGAGGGAAGAAAATAATAAAAATTAGAACAGAAACTAGTAAAACAGGGAACAGAAAAACAATAGAGGGAAATCAATGAAATCAAAATAAGTTCTTTAAAAAGATGAGAAAAAATGGAAAAAAAACAAAAACAAAAAAGCAACTTAGGCTACATGGACCAAGAAAAAAGGACACAAGACGAGAAGTTAAAGAGGAGATATTACTACTTACCTTAAAGAAATTAAAAGATTATAAAGGAATATCATGAACAATTGTATGCCAAAAAATAACCTAAATGAAATTACTGAAGTTGACACAAGAATAAATAAACAACATGAACAGATCTGTAACTGAAAAGGCTGAATTAGTAATCAAAAATCTACCCACAAAGAAAAACAAAAGTCCAGATGGTATAACCACCAAATTACACCAAACATTAAAAAAAAAAAAAAAAAGAACACCATTTTTTCATAAAGTCTTCTAATAAAAACGAAGGAAATACATCTCAACTCATTCAGTGAGACCAGCATCATATCAAACCAGAAAAGATACCATAAGAAATCTACAGACCAATACCACTTATAAATACAAATGCCAAAGCCCTTAATAAAATACTAGCAAACTTCAAAAGAATAAGACATGTCTTTCTGCTACAGACTGAGAGAAAATACTTGCCAAAGACAGATCTAATGAAGAATTATTATCTAAAATAAATTTTAAAAACTCAAAACTCAACAATAATAAAGTAAATAACATGATTAAAACTAGGCAAAAGACGTGAAGACATTTTACCAAAGAACATATATAAATGACAAATGAGCATATGAAAAGATGCTCCACATCATCATATCTCATTAGGGGATCAGAAATTAAAACAGTAAGATAACACTCTACACCTATTACAATGGACAAAATACAGAATAATGACAACACTAAATGTTGGTACAGATGTGGCGCAACAGTAACTATTCACTGTTGGTAGGAATGTGAAATGATCTACCCACTTTTGGCAATATCTTACAAAATTAACCAAACTCTTACCACCTGATCCAGCAATCACATTCCTTAATCTTAAATCTAATAAGCTGAAAACAAAGTCCACTTAAAAAACTGCACACTGATAATGTTTATCAGTATTTTTTATTTATATAAACACCTTCATAAGTAGCTTTTTCCATAATTGCCAAAATGTGAAAACACCAAGATATTCTTCAAAAGGTGAACTGGATAAACCACCTGTGGTACATCTAGACAATGGAATAATATTCAGCTTTAAAAAGGAATGAGCTACCAAGCCATGAAAAGACATGGAGGAATTTTAAATGTATATTACTATGCGAAAAAACTAAGATCACGGCATCCAGTCCCATCACTTCATGGCAAATAGATGGGGAAACAATGGAAACAGTGGCTGACTTTATTTTTCTGGGCTCCAAAATCACTGCAGATGGTGACTGCAGCCATGAAATTAAAAGATGCTTACTCCTTGGAAGGAAAGTTATGACCAACCTAGATAGCATACTAAAAAGCACAGACATTACTTTGCCAACAAAGGTCTGTCTAGTCAAGGCTATGGTTTTCCAGTGGTCATGTATGGATGTGAGAGTTGGACTATAAAGAAAGCTGAGCACCGANGTCCATGGGATTCTCCAGGCAAGAATACTGGAGTGGGTTGCCATTTCCTTCTCCAGGGGATCTTCCCAACCCAGGGATTGAACCAGGGTCTCCCACATTGTAGGCAGACACTTTAACCTCTGAGCCACCAGGGAAGCCCCAAAGGATTTTTAGGGAAGTGAAATTATTAATACTATGTATAATACTATAACCATGGATACATCTGTTATAAATCCATCCAAAGCTATAGAATGTAAAACACTAAGAGTGAACTCCAATGGAAACTGTGGACTTTGTGTTACAATGATGTCAACATAGGCTCGTGAATTGTAAAAAAAAAATGCACCCATTGTAGGTAGGGAGAATGCTAACTGTAGAGGAGGCTATATATATTTGGCGCCAGAGTGTATATGAAAAACCTGTCTATCTTGTTCTTAGTATTCTCGGAACTCAAAACTATTCTAAAATATGAAGTCTATTGAAGAAGAAAAATATTTATGTCAAGTCATGCTGTGTAGCAACAGAAAATAAACTTCAACTTTACAAGGTATAGTCATTATAATCTCAAAAGATTTGCCCTTTTCAGTCCAAAGCATACCTTATTATAGGATAATCTGCATACCAGCTTTTATTAAGAATTGGTTTATTTTTCTTATCTTTCCAACTTCTGACAGATGTGCAATAGTAAATATTTTCCTTTAGAATTTCACAGTGGACTAGTGACTTAAAAACATTTCTAAGTTTATCATGTTAATAACAAAGTGCAAAGGACATTATAGGATTGCATTCTTCTTCACTTAGAAATAGAAATATCATTGATTTACAAAAATAAAATACCATAAGAAAAAATAAGAAAATAAAGATAGTAGATAAAATAAAGAAGGAAATATGTGAATAGAGGAGAAGAATAGAGGAAAACTATAATTCTGAAATTTACTTCTAACTGGATTTTCAAGAAGTGTGTTCTTTCTGAATTGATACTGACATAGCAATAGAACAGGATAGTTTGAAGGTAAAGATTTCTTCAGATTAATGGAACAAGCTTGCAGTCTTCTTCCAGATCTTTAATCTGCTAGTAAATAGTTCTGTTATCTGAGATTTACATCAATCTTTTGCTTCAAAGGTCTTGGGCTTTAAATTATGTTGAGTAACTCAATTGCTGTTTGACTTTCCTGAAATTTGCTTCCTAAAGAGAGCACGTATAAAAAAAAGATGTAAAAGTCACCAGAAGCTGGGTTCTATGAAATTTAAAACCACCAAGTCACCTGCACAAAATGTGAAAAATAATGATTTGAAAAATAGCCTAACACACTGTGTTAATGAGGAGAAAACATGTGAAACAAATTCTTGTCTAGCTGGCATTTCTTTATGGAGTAATTTCTTCTAAATCATATCCAACTTTCTACTTATATATCAACTGGGGTGTATGGATCAATGCATTTCTCAATAGAATAAGACAGCCATATAACTCATTATTAAGATAGGTGGGGCTACAAATCAATCATTTTTTCTCCTCTTATAACCCATTGTTTATAAAATGAATAATAGTACATTCTGAGGAGGAAGTAAACACCAAGAATAGTTTAGCAACTGTAAGATTTCTATACTCTGCATTGTCCCAGCTTGGGCTATTCCAGAAAGTTTCTTGAATTAAAGAAAAAGAAAATCTCATATTTATGATAAATAAATACTTTTAATAATGTAGTAAAAATGAATTATTATAAGATACAAAAGAATATAGAGAATATGAACTCAAAATTATCAATATATTCAACAATATCCCTCACAATGTTCCCTGATAAATATGATCAGAGCAAACAAAACATAGAAAAATTAGAAAGGAATCAATAAAAATGTACATGTTGCTTATTGAAAGTACACTTATAGACAATTAATAAAAAATAATTAACATATCATCTCACACTTATTGTAATCCTATATTCATAAGTAAATACAAATTACAAAGTGATAATTCTCTACATAAAATGCCTATATGCACATTTTGAAAAATGTGTATATAAATATTAAATTTTAAGGTGACATATCTAGCTTGTTAATTTATCTAGTACAGATCAGATTGACAGCATTATTATTATCAATATCAAAACTGTTAACAACTTTATACTAGAGAAGCCAATCTTCCTGGATTATACTTATGGAGATAAAAAATAATAATTTTCTGAAAATTCAGGATAATTATTTTTAATCTTTTATTAAAAATTTAGCAAAAGTGGTGTTCTCTTAACCATTTTTTGGGTTATTTATTAGCTTGCTTAGGGAACAGTCCAGTGTTGCCCTAGAACATGTAAGTAGAAACTCATGCTTCCTGTCTATTAAATATATCCATTAGACCCAAATATTTTTCCAATATTTTAGTGAAAGTTATCTTAGAAATACTAATAGAAAGCTATCTATGAGAAATGCTGGGCTGGATGAAGCACAAGCTGGAATCAAGATTGCTGAGAGAAATATCAATAACCTCAGATATGCAGATGATACCACCTTATGGCAGAAAGTTAAGAGGAACAAAAAAGCCTCTTGATGAAAGTGAAAGAGGAGAGTAAAAANTGAGATGGTTGGATGGCATCACTGACTCAATGGACATGAGTTTGAGTAAACTCTGGGAGTTGGTGATGGACAGGGAAGTCTGGCATGCTGCAGTCCATGGGGTTGCAAAGAGACACAATTGAGTGACTGAACTGAACTGCATTGATTTTAGAAATCAATTATTCTAAACTTCTCTTTTCCAGGTGAGAAATATAGAATAAGCAAATTAATTATCATGCATAGACTGCCTGGGGAAGATTATTTTCAAATATAGATGCTATGATTTCTCACTTTTGCAATGGAATTTGCTTTTCTTCTTGTCAGCAGGTGTATATTTCTCTCACACTGAATATGGCTGGCCTGTGAT